TGCAGGGCAAGGGGAGGAGGAGCCAGGGCTCAGAAGAAAGAAGTCTGCATCACAAGCTGGCTTCTCTTCTCCCAAGAAAGTACTTCTGCTCCCTTGAGCAGCACAGGTCATCTTTACCTGCACCTGCTCCACCCAGCAAATGCCTTCCTCTGGGGTCACTGTGCACTAGCCTTCTGGTGGCATGGCTGGGTTCCCTCTCCCTGAATTGCAGGACAGATAAAGGCAAAAACCTCCGTTCACCTGGATAGAATTCTGTGAGCAAGAGTTTGCTGTGTGGAGTTTTTTTAAATGTTTGTATTTATTTGTTTGTTTGTTCATTTCATTTTTTTTTTTGGTAATACTGGGGATTGAATCTAGGGTTCCACACATGCCTGGAAACCACTCCACCCAGTCGTGCTTTATGGATTTTAACCCTGTACTTGGGACATTTTAGTTTTTGAACCAAATTGCAAGTCAAGAACAAGAAGTCCTTTCTGCCAGGCAAGAAGCTAATCTTGGGATTCCTTATTTTCCTCCATTTAGGGAGTAGAAAGTACAGAAACCCTGAGTCACAGAAACACACGAACTGCCTCTGTACAAAGCTGGCCATGCTACAACAGAAAAGGTTGAAGTTAGAATAAAGGGGAAAACCACCGAGGCTGTGCCAGGCGCTGGTCTTTATAGACATGGACTCATCTGAGTTTCCTATTCATCCAATGAACCTCAGTTTCCTCCTCTGTACAGTGCAAACCAGACTCAGCTTCTTGGATAATTTGAAAGAGTTAAGGGAGATAATATATGTGGAATTTTGAACCTTTTTAGCACATCAGAAATATTGGGTCCTATCATCATGTCCATTCTTTGATAGGAATTTTTAGATACTGTGAATGCCCTCCCATTTGACCCTGGCTGAAGGTATTATCCCCATCTTAAAGATGAGAAAGTTGAGATCAAGTTGCCAGCCCATGACCATAGGAGAAATTAAAGAACTGTACATTAGAACTTCCGTATCTGGTGATCTTCGCTCTACTAGCGGTCTTAAAGTCTGGTCACATGTGAACCACTCAAGCCCTCGGCAAAAATGAAGAGGGGTGAGAATGCATGGAATCCAAAGCTCCAGCGGGAGGGTAAGCACCTGCGTTTTTAAGCCAGGTGGTTTCTGTGTACACCAGTTTGTAAATCTCTGCACTGACCTGGAAATTGGCACAGAAAATCTGAAGGAAAAAGGAAGGAGTAACCAGAAAAGCTGAAAGACAAAGAATGAAGCTGTAAGATACCACCCACCTGTGTGTTATAATCCTAACCAACTCTTACCCAATGTTTACTTTGGGCGAGGTGTTGTTGTAAGTGCTTTGGTTACTTTATCCTAGCTTATTTGAGCTCTGGAGCCCCCCGTGAGGTAGGTGTTATTATTATTCCACTTTATATATTGGAAAATCAAAGCTCAGAGAATTGATAAATTATTTCCCCCAAAGTCCCAAAGCCAATGAAGAACTTCAGGTGAGAATCTTAAGCACCTTGAAAACCTATAAAAAGGAAAGAGGGTAAGGAAAGAGAAAGGGTGAGAAAAAGGGATCACCTAAAACTAACTAGAGAGAAAGCTACATCCTGGTTGCAACCTACCTCCTGCCTGGGTGTGGACACATCACGGGAGCTATCTGGGGACTTGGAAGGCTGAGACTGTGACTTGGATAACTGCAAGAAGGGTGACAGAATGTGTGTGGCAAAGCCAGTCTAAATGCCTCTTGGAAGGACACCTCACGTTGGCTACAGTGGGTTCCATGTGACCTAGAAAAGCTCCATCCACGTCCAGGCCCTAGAACTTATGAATGTGACTTTATTTGGCAGAAGGTTCTTTGCAGATGTAACTGAGGATCTTGACTGAGGTCATCTGGGATTATCCGGGGGCCCTAGATCCAATGACGAGCATTCTTATAAGAACAGCAGGGGAAAAGAGCACACAGAGAAGAGGAGAAGGCCATGGGAATCAGAGACAGAGATGAGTGAGCAATCACAGTGGAAGGGTACTGACCACCATCTGAAACCGGAAGATACAAGGAAACGATTCCCCTCCCCCTCCAGAGCATCCGGAGGGACAGTGGCCCTGCTGACACCCAATTTTGGATCTGTGAGAGAATAAATCTGTGTTGCTTTAAGTCACCCTGTGTGTGGTAATCTGCTGCAGCAGGCCTAGAAAAATACACTGCACAATAGAACATTGATAAGTGACTTAGCGGCCGTTCCTGTTTAGGTCTGTGTCGGATTTCTTTTTGTTGAGTATAACTTCTTTTAGAGAGAGACCTGCTCCCCCACAAACTCCTGCACGTGACTGTCATGGCTGATCCTAGAAGCAGGAAGAGTTTGCCATCAGGCACTGGCCAATCAGAAAGCTCCATCTCCTCAACCACAGCCAATGGTCCAGTGTGACTCATGACCCAAACTGGCCCAATCAGAGTCCTTCCCTGACTTTTGTATAGCTGAGTTGGTGAGACTTATACTTCTCTCTTTCTTGTAGGACCATTAAATTGGTACATGGCTAAAGAGTAGGTTGTTGTGTGGAGCAGGCCAAGTGCAGTACACAGGAGTGAAGCCAGTCTGAAGAAGGAGCTAGAAGTGAATGTCTAAATTTGAGAGTCAGGGAAACTGGACCATGGTTAAGTTTCTGGACTAGTGAGGCCAGCTTCATCACTCCTATGGTTGGGTACATGAAGCTTAATATTTCTACCTAGGCTGGCTAAGTTTGGGCCATGGTTTGGATGTGGTTTGTCCCCAAAAGTTTTGTGTGCTCAAAGCAGATTGGCCTCCAGTCTGGTGGTGTTAAAAGGTGGTAGAACCTTTAAGAAGGGCGGCCTAAATAGGTCACTGGGGGCACTGCTCTCCAAAAAGGCTAGTGCTGGTCTCATAGAGTGAGTTAGGTCTTGTAAAAGAGCAAGCCTGGCCCTTGAACCTCTCTGTCTTCCTGTCTTGTCATGTGATCTTTCCCTTTCACATGCATCCCCAGCATAATGCCATCCACCATGCAGGAACACAACCAAAAGTGGCCCCTACCAGAACTGAGCCAAAGCCAGCACCATGCTCTTAGACGGCCAGAACCGCCAGACAACCAAATAAATCTCTTTTCTCTATGAAGTACCCAACCTTGGGTATTTTGTTATAGCAATAGGAGATGGACCAATTCAGCTGGATTCTGGCCCTTACAAACAATGGAGCTTGGACCAACACAAAGGAATGAAGGTAACTGCCATTTCCCTCAGGGGAAACAGGGACACCTGGAACAAACTCTACCACATCATTTCCATTTCTTCCATTTCAGAGAAGACTTGAGGGTAAGATCAAGGGCTAGTGATGCCCTGAGTTGAAGAAAAACAAGAAGAGGAATGTGTCTGAGGAAAAACTGGTCTGCTTTATCCTTAAAACATTAGGCAGGATGGCAGAAAGATCCAATGGGGACCATTTCCAGCCAGGGAAGGTTCACTCCTATCTGGCAGAACATGGAGAAAAATAGGGAAAAAATAAAGATTCAGCCAGGCAACCAGGCTGGGGGTAGGCAGAAAGTCTCTGACCTCGCTTCATAACCACATGAAGCCACCTATACACCCAAACACTGGCCCCGGGATCATAGTGACATCTGACGCTTCTTTTAGACATTTCCTTCCTTTTTCCGGTTTCTTTGGGTTCTTCAGCCCATATGTTGCTAATTTTCCATCTTTTCAAAGCTCTCCATTCCATTTAAAGTCAGAATGCATCCTATTCACCGCTTCTGAATTTGAGGGGTGGGGGTGGGGGCTGCAGAGGTCAGCAGGCTCCTTCATATAGAAAATAAATGAGCAAGCAGCGCCGTGCGAGAACACGTGTGTGCGTGTGAGTACACACACAGCTTATTATTTCCTGCCTTAATCCACTTTTCAGCTCCACTGTGCAAGATCACAGGGGAGAGCTAGGCAGTGCCTCTTAGAAAGGTTCTTCACATCTCCTTCAAGAAAGAAACTTGTTCCCCAAAGTTGCCTTTTGAAGTTCACCGGGCCTGTCGCGCAGACTTCAGCTAAGCTAATTACTGGTCAGCCAGCTGTTGCTTTGAACTGGACACACACCAGAGGCCCTTCAAGGATCTTGTGTGCCAGGTGACTGTTTTCATATGGTGCCTGTTAAATCCACACATGGTGAAGGGCTCCTTCTCTCTCACGCGGGACAGGGTGGAGAGGAGGCCCCTCCCATTAAAGCAGCAACAAAGAAGTGGAGGGAGGCCGGGGCATGTGTTCTTCTGACAAATTCAGCAGCAAGAGAGATCGTGGAGAAACTAACTTCAGTTGTCATTATTTAAATGACAGAAAAACTGAACAAGAGGGACAGAGTGTGGAATGGGGGGAGTCATTAGTTTCTCTCATGCGTAACCACTAAACTTCCAATCTGTCCATGGTCAGCTGCAGAGTTCCCAGTGGAGGTGTGTGTGAGCTTGGGAATATGGGTAAGGTAGTTTAGGGTGGATGCTAGGAAAATAGAAAGATGTCAGAGCTCTTCCACCTTTATAAACCAGGCACTTAAAAAAATAAGTGATGTTAAAAAAAGGGAGAAAGTAATGGAGACCAAAATGTTGATGGTACTCACTCTCAGGCTAACATGACATATTCATTATAAATAGGACTAATTTCTGAACCAAAAGTGTAATAAGTGGTCTTGCTGCTAGGAGTACACATGAAGCCAGTGGGGCAGAACACTTACATAGTGGTAGTTCTCATGTGGAGCAAATGTCTGGATTTAGTTCTGATAGCCTTGACCGGGAGGGGAGAGTGTGTGGATAGTACTGACTCCTTTCACATGGAGGCCATGGATACTCTCGACATCTGCCAAGACACAGACAAGCTCCAACGACAAAGACCTGTTCAGCTTTAGTGGGAAAAGAGCTGCTGTTGAGAAACTCTTGAGTACAGATTATATAACTGGTACAGCCATTCCACTGGTCATGTTTCTGTACATAAACAGAATCAATAGGGAAATAGATATATGAAATTATGTAAGGAAATTTATTCAGTAGGTTTATAGGATTAGAGGTGTGATGGCCCACAATGGTTCTCAGCATGCTGGTGAGCCAGAGGATCCAGTAACTGCTCAATCCAAGAAGCTGGAAGCTGCAGGGCAAAAGTCATCAGGGATGTAGCGCCAGCGCAAAAGTGAAGGCCTGGAAGTTCCCTACAGCGTCCACAGCATGAGCTCACCAGGAGAAGTCAAAGAATCCGGAGTCTGATGTCCACAAGGAATGGCGGTAGCAAAGACCCGCTCAGGCAAAATGGAGCTTTAAAAACACAGGACAACTTCTTCCTCCTCCCTTTTTCAGTCTGTCCAGACCCTTAGGCTATTGGATGGTGCCAGCCACAGGCAGGGTGGGTCACCCCCATCCCTTTGTTTGCTGGCCTACATGCCAGTCATTTCTGGAAACACTGCATAGATACACATAGAAGTGTGCCTTACAATCTGTTAGGTGTCTCTTAATCCAGTTGATGACTACGTTTACCAGTCATACCCATCAGACCCACCCCTGAGTACTGTAACCCTAGAGTATATTTTCCCATTCCCCAAATTATGAGTATCTCACTGAAGACCTCAGCTGTCTCCTCTTGCAGCAATATGATTCCCCTCTACAAACTGTCTTTTGGGAAGTGATAAAGGCGGGTATATTTCAGTCATGATCGATCTTGCCCTACTTCCATGGTTTGAACGTGTCCCCTCAAAATGCATGTGTTAGACACTAATGCCTAAGGTCGTGTTGATGATATCAAGGGTGAGGTCTTTGGGCAGTAATTCACATTAGATGAGATCATGAAAGTGGGGTCTCCATGATGGGCTTCCTGGCTTTACAAGATGAAGAGACACCAGCCATGTGATACTTTCTGCCATGGGATAACACAGCAACAGGGGCCTCACCAGATGCTGGTACCGTATTCTCCCACTTAGCCTCTAGAGCAGTAAAAAATAAATTTCTCCTTATTACAAGGTACCTACCCTTGGGTATCCTTTTAGCAGGAAATGGACTAAGACACCCAGGTAGACCTTATTGATGCAAGTGGCTCACTCCCATTCTTCTAATAACTTACAGTCACACAGGAGGTAGTTCCTTGGTCAGAAAATGATAGGATATGCTGCAATAATCAACAACAGTAAAATCTTAGTGAATTTTTAAAAAGTGTATTCCGTGCCCAACCTCGCACTCCCGGAGCGCGCGCCAGTGCATGTGATCAAGGGTGGGACGAGGGCAGAAGAGTTTCTTTGTTCCTTGTAATCACTTGGGCCCCAGGATGACAGAGGCTCAGCCATCTTGCCACAGTGTCCTCTCTGTGCAGGCTTCAGGGTTCGCCTCAGCAGGGGAGGAGCCACTGAAGGGGCTCACACGGGCCTGACGTGCTTTCACTGGAAAATGGTATGTGCGCCCTTCTTCTCACGGCCCACAGGGCAGAACTCGTAGCCTGGCCCTTCCTGCTGCAGAGCCAGGGAAGAGAAGAAGCAGCGAGCCACAAGCAGCTGGGTTCCACCGCCATGTAGCATCAGGCAGAAGCAGACAGTAGGAGGAGTCAGAGCAGAAGTCGCAGGAGAACAGACCAGGAGACAAACAGAGGGGCTAAGCAGAAAAGAGAAAGGGGATAGATGTGCAGAGGGCAGCAGAGAGCAGGTGTCTGAAAGTGATTTAAAAAGTAGGTGCCTCCATCCTGCTCTCCGAGTAGACACTGTGTTGTTCTGGTGTTTACACTCAGTCGGGACATCCAAAGCCCTGCACTGCCATCTGAACAGATTTCTATTTCTTCCTCCAAAAAGAGCTTTGAGTCATACTTGCCACTCAGACTTTAATACGTAGTTCTCTGTTAAGACTGTTGGGCTGTGGAAGGTAGCTGGACTCTCCCAACAATGGAACTGTCCCAAAGATGACAAATCGAGGATGAGCTTCCCAGAAGAACCCAACTTTCCAACAGCCCTGACCCAACTCATCCAACTGGACAGGTGGTAGCCACGGATGGAAACGAACAGGCTCCGAGGGGCCCTATCCCTGTTCACGCACCACCTCTGAATCCCAGGGGTGCTGACCCAGGGGTTCTGGATGGCTTTTGTGCCACCCAGCCTTCTCAGAATAAAGATTTAAATATTTTGGGAGGCAGAAAATAAAACCCAGAGGATTACAAAGAAATTGATGACACTGAAAAACAGTCAGTGAAAATGTTTTCAAATCAAGACGCACAGCACGATGTGTGCTTGTTATTGGTACATTAAGAAGCTGTTGTGGCAGGTCTAATACCACAATTTTATAGCATACTGATTAGGAATAACGCTGCAAGACACGTGCAGCAACCATAACGAAATAGGAAAATAACTATTTGTTTTGTCAACAGTAAAGTCATATGCAGTCAAAAGTACTGCTAATGCCACTGTGGTTTGTTGCTTACATTTAAAACTGAAGCAAGGGCCAAATTTCCAATAGAGATTTGTGAAAAGGAAGATAAATTGTTTCGTGAGAGAAAAACTTATTAGTCATGGAAATAAAAGCATATTTTTCCCAGCCATGCTCATGGGCCCCTTGAATTCTATGACCTCTGGCAAATTCCATAGAACACAGACTGAAGACCTCTGGCCACAAAGCTCCAGACAGAACCCCGGTAAGTTTTCTGAGCAGGAAGTGAGCCGGTGAAGAGAAAGTAGGACTGTTTTGTTATTCTAAGGCTAAGCAATGCTCGGTGACTAACACCCGAGATAACGTTAGCTTATCTGCTCAGTTCTTGTCACCTGCTACAGACCTGAGCCTAAACAGAAGAGATAAATTTTGACAAAGAACGTGAGGTTTGCAGAGAACACGAATCAGGAGACACGAACTTGGGCCCACTGGGGGAGACAGGCCAGTGCCTACAGGGCTATCGTCAGGGACATGCTGAAATGCTGCCAGGGCCCAGGGAGGAGTATCTCACACCAGGCTTCAGGCCTACCCACTTGAGGGAAATGTCCAACATGGTCACCGGAATTTAAGATTAGGCCTAAGGAGAACTAAAAGGGGAATCGGGGAAGATGGGATTTGCAGGATAGAGGCTGAGGGCTGGAGTTAGATATCTTTATTAGAGTAACCCAGGGCCTACATTCTCTCTGTGGCTAAAGGTACCTGAGAAAACAATGTATGTGTCTGGAGAACTGAAAATTTTCTGAACATATTTCAATAGAAGAAGCAATGTCTTTTTTCCCTCTCCATCCAGCTAGGCCATCTATATGCTAAGGTTGCTTATCAATTTGGGCCTCGGTTTCCTCATCTAGAAAGTGACGAGATAGGCGCAAAGAGTTTGGACTCGATATGTACAAAGAATTTTACAATGTCAAGCCATCAGTACTCTCTGATTCCCAATATCCAGTGCTCACTGAAGCAACCTAGGGAGGTTTTTTAAAATACTTATCCTTGAGACTTCCCTCCAATGTTCTGAGTTGATTGGTCTGATGTGGGTGGAACATGCAGATTTTTAAGCTTCCACCTGATTTTAATGTGCAGCCCAAGTTAAGAATCGGTGGTCTAGTATAAGTCTATTGCTCAAGTTGACTTTTGTCACTTGGTAAAGCATTAACAGACTGTGGTAGAGGATAAAGATCAGATAGATGCCTGCGACAGAGAAAAAGTGATCTGTCCCAATAAGACCCAAGAACTAAAAATAAGGTGCCACTTTGGACTCTGGGAGGATCCGGAGAAAACAGGGGATATGGAGTAAGGGTAAGCAGGAGATGAGATAGTTTGGCATGGAATGAAAGGGCTGGTTCCATCTTATTAGCTGATCAAAATTGGGCTGGTAACTTTCCCTCTCCAACCCTCAGTTTTCTCATCTGTAATATGAGCTGGTACAGAGGAAAGGGAAAGTAGCATGTGAGTATTCTCCATGTTAAATTGTACTTGACAGATGAGGAAACTGCTGTTGGAGAGGTTAATTGACTTCTTTCTCTACCTCACTGAACAGGGCCAAAATGAGATCATGTGTCTGGAATGAGGTTGCCAGCTTTAGCAAACAAAAGAGAGGACGCCCAATTAAATTGGGATTTTAGGTAAACAATGAATAATTTTTAAGTGTAAATATGTCTCAAATATTGTTTTGTCTGACAACTTAAGTCTGAAACCATTTTATCAGACATGAAGGTTCATCTATGGTTTTATTGGGTGGTTTGGCTTCCTATTAGTCAGAAGTTTTTCTATATTCAGGATGTTAACCTCCTGACATGTGTCCTAAATATTTTTCACTTTGTTGATGGTGTTTGTTGTACAGAAGTTTTTAATTTTTGTGTTTCCACATGTTCCGATCATTTTCTTTATGGTTTATGGCATTTTTGCCATGCCTAGAAGTTTCCATTCAAAGATTATACAACTATTCACCCATGCTTTCTTCTAGTACTTTTATGGCTTTATTTTTTACATTTAAAGCATCTGGAATTTATTGTGGGAGATGATGGCATTTTTCCCTAAATGGCTAGCCAGTTGTCCCAATAGAATTCAATAAATTATCTTTTTCCTTGCTCATTTGAAAATGCCCTTTATCATACACTGAATTCTGAGATTTACATGGCTGTATTTCTGGAAACTCTAATCTGTTCCACTAATCTATTTTTTCCTTCCTACCAGGACACTGTTTAACTCATTGCAAGTTTATAAGATGGCTTATTATCTGGGAAGATTATTTCTCTCTTTCTCTTAAAGAATTTCCTGGTTATTTTTACCTTTATGTTCTGCCACAATTTTAGAATTCTACTTATCAAGCACCCAAGTCACTTGAGACTTTGATTAGTATTGGTTTGAATTTTCAGAATAATTTAGAGAGGGAGGATGCTTAATAATGCTGTATCTGCCTACCTAAGAAAAAAGAAAAAATTCTCCAGTTAGTCATCCTCTTTATGTTCTTCAACAGAAGGCACATATCTTCTTCATACGTTTCTGCATGATTCTTTGGTTTATACGAGAAGTTATAGTTCACTTATACTCATGACATTTTCTATTTGATGTGTTTGCACAAGTATGAGATATTTTATTAAAAGTGAAGAAGATAAGAGTAGTGGAGACAAGACAAACCTGAGCCACTCCTAAGTTTCCCTGGGTCTTCTTTATAGGCAATCCGGTGAAAGTTCAGTTCTTTACTGTGACACCATGTCTTCAGGGACACTGGTTTGGAGCCTGGAGAGACAGAAATATCACTTAAAATCCTCTCTTATATTTCTACTTGACACTTCTGCAGCTGGTGTGAGTCCGGGAGCAAAGGGTCCTAGTCAAGTCCTCAGGTGGCCTGCAACGTGCCAATGGCGGCAAGTCCCGCCCCTCCCTGTGTAGGCCCCCACTTCCGGTTGGAGAGGCCTATGCTCTCTGGAAATTCTTCTGTTTTTCATCTCTGAGCGTCTTTCATGATAGCTTGCTTTTCTGACGGGAGTCTGGCATCTCCTTGACACACACGTTTGCTGGAAGATTTACATTTTCGATTTCCTTGCCCATTTTCTGACTGCATACATAAAAGAGAATTGTAAATGTTTAGAAAAATCAAAGTTCTTCTTAGACACCTGCAGTTCCACCAAGTATTCTCTAATTCATGCCAAGAAGAGACTGAAGAAATGAGGTGGAATACCCTGGCTGTTTTCTCGCTGAGGTTTTCCAAACTTTATTTCCTCTCACTTTTGGAGTAGTGTCAAGTTCAGAGAGCTGTTTGGAAGCTTGTCAGGCACAGCACCCGGCCCTTCTTGGACTGAGGTACTGCCTGGAGCCCACTCTGGATGCAAGGCGGTGGAGATAACTGTGAGGGACGGAAGGGCAAGCACAGTGGCCTGGCCAGTGTCGGGCTATCGCTGTCTTTGTAAACCAGACACACACACCCACACACACACACCCAGGCACAGGCTCTACTGCCACACCCTGTCTCTTTCTTTTCTTTTATTGGGACCGGTGGGTCTAGCAGTTCCGCAGAGGGCAGCTGGGGCTGAGGAGGTTGCTAGCTCTTAACAATTAGCAAACATGCAAGTGTTAATTACTTCATCCTCAGGAAAGCATGAGCTGCAGTGTCATTTCCAGTTTTCCAGAGAGAGAAAAGAAACAATGCTAAGAATCTCAGCAAAGTAAAAAAAATGGAAGGTGAACACAGCAAGTAGTGGTCATAAGTAGGATCAGTCTTGGACTGCTACCCTGGGCCTGTCGCAGGGAACCTGCCAGTGTGATGAAGTCTAGGACTTCTAGGCTGAGTGCTGCTTATTTGTGGACCACGAGGGAGAGTGAGTGATTGCATCTTTTTCTACGGGTTCCTCAGCCATTGACTTTCAAATCACCCTAAGCCGGATAGCTAAGAGCACTATTCCATTTCACGTTCACTTTGGCTTACCTTAAAAAAAAAAATCCACACTGTTCCCACCACCACACCTCTGACTTGCCCTTGGAAATGGAAAACTCCACCCCATAAAACAGGCTCCTTCTTTCACACGCCCCACCAGGACTCTTTCAGAGAAATCTGAACAATAATGAATCAACTTTTTCCATATCTTGCACCTCTTAATTACGAGGAAATGGGCCACATTATGATGGCCCTGGGCATACAGCAGACATATTTGTGTTTTTGAAGGGAGGGCTACAAATATATAGGCCAGAAATACCTCCCCAAGAACTGAATTCAAACCTTGAGTCACAGACGCTAGGAGACCGCCAGCATCCTCAACTGTGTTCTTCATTGACTAGGGCCAAGGGAGACAATTAACAAGAGCTGTTCTGATTATGTACAGAATTGGCTCGGGTTTTAGAATACAGGCAATAGATCATGTAACAATGGGGACACATTCTGAGCCATGAGTCACTGGGTGATGTTATCAGTGTGTGAACATCATAATGTATTTAAACTAAGATAGCTCTGATATGGGATTATTTTTGTATGTGTGGTCCATTGTTGACCAAAACATCTGTATATCTGTACACGACTCCGTAACAAGGTCTCACCAAGACACTGAGGTCAGAAACACTAGTGCAAAAGGTTGAATTGTGGACAAGGACCCAAGTCATAGTCCTGTGCCTTTTTAGCCCATTTGCACCATTCATGGATCCCAGTTTATTGCGCGCTTCTTCCCCTTCAGTCCAACCTACAATAATGAGAACATCTGGGAATTCCAGGGCAGCGCAGTCAGGGAAACGATCTCACGGGCCCCTCTCCCTCCCAACCTTGTAACCTTTTATTGCTTCACAGTTCATTGTCTCGCTCTTTCCCCCACCTCCCACCACATGGGTCCTGTGGGAAACTTCATACGAAGGCGGATTCAGAGTCCTTTGGAACAGCCGCTGAATTAGGATCGTCTCAGGCAAATGCCCAGCTGGGATTATCACCGCACCTTTCAACATTCTCTCCTTCTGCCAATGTGGTGGAGTCAGCTAAGACCTGGCGGGTGAAGCCCTTGATTTCTGCTTCTCTTCCCCAGCGCACTCCCCAGGAAGTCTGGGAATAGTACCAGGTAGCAACAATGCAGTAAGACTGAGAGCAAAAGATCATTGAAAAATCCCAGTCAGTCCCTTCCCTTTGGCTCCAACTTCACATATGGTCAGCACATTAGAGACCTTGTTCAAAGGACCAGATTAGGACATGCAGTGGGGGTGATTTCTGGCACTAACACTCATTGTCTTCCACTAAATCATTGAGCGGTCAGGCTTTGTGCACCTTGGGTTCATACGGGTTTGACCATGTCAGTGTTTTTAACCCAACTTAATGCCCTTGCTAGAATGGTCCTCCTCTAGAGATAAAGTAGCAGTCTTCATGAATGATTGCTTCCAGACCCAACAAAGAGAAACTCGTGTGTTTAAAATGCCTGCCATTCTTCTCCGTTTCACCATAAAGTAGCCAACTTAATTTTGCACAATACTGTTTGATAACAACCATGTGTGTGTCTTCTGTATTTATATACTGTACTCAGGAAAGGACCTACTTGGTCAGTGTGAGATAATTTCACAAGCAAAATGGAACCAGATGTGATTCCTTTTCATTTGGCCCTTCAAACTCAAGCAATCTAATTCCCAGGACCAGTCTTCCCTGGGGTTTTCGATTACCTTCCAGAAGAGGATCCTTTTACACAGCGTTCATTTTTCTAAGGTGTCTGACAAGCAGGAGTGGGCAACAGATTTTAGGGAGTTGGTTCTCAGCTTAGCACTTTCCAGCATCACGCTTGGAGACTGAGTGGGGTGGGCATTTCCTCTTTTAGAATAGAACTTGTCTATCTACTAGTAGACTTGCCTACCTTTAATTGAGCTATTCCTCCAACTTCCCAGACTACACAAGCTCTTTGAGCCTGAAACCCAGGGTCAGATGGTACAAAGGTGACTCACTCCAAACTCCAAAGCAAAGGAGCTGGGTAGACAAACATAAGAGAAGGGCAATTTTTCTCCTGCATCTTACTTAGTTCCTCTTTTTTAAAAAAAAAAAAAAATCCATTCCAACTTGTGCTGGTAGACCTGCCATGTATAAGTGGCACAGTTTGTACACTGTACAGAATTGCTTAGCTAAAGGATCCAATCAATGGTGGCTGAAATCCAGGCCTGGCTACACTTGTCAAGCCAGGTGCTTTAGTATGGGGTACATCTCATGGATAAATGGATATATCTTTTTTCTCAAAGGCTAACTGCTCATCAAGTTAGAAACCCTGGGACTGCTTATTCCCAGAAGAGATACTCATTTCTAAGAAGCTGTGTATACTGGTGGTCAGGTGATAGCCTGAGAGATGAGCATGCAGACACCAGTGATTATGTCATTAGCTCCTATACGCTTATGTTAGTCCTTTCCAATGAGCCACATTGCTTATTCTGCCCTGTCTTTGGGAGGCCCTACTCATGAGGAGAGGCTTTAAGCCAAGGATAGTAGCTACATGGCCCTTGGACCATGACGCTTCCTGTGACAGACACGACTGATCAATCCTAGAGTTCTCTGAGTCCACATTAGTCTCACAATCCTTCTCCTCTCAGTGGGGTATTCTGCTCAGTCATTACCAATCAAAAACAGTCGGCGTCCAAGAAGAACCTCTCTGCCATCTGCACCGGCTGGCAATTGCCACAACAATGCTGCCCAGTACATCACTCCAAAACTCAGAAGCTGAAAACATGAATCATTTACCTACCCATCTTTGGAGGAGCTAAGCTTGGTTTCTTGCTCTGTGTGTGTGTGTGTGTGTGTGTGTGTGTGTGTGTGTGTGTGTTGGTGTTGGGCAGGTGTTGCACAGGTCTGCTTGATGTGTACCCATTCTGGGGTCCTGCTGAGAGCTTAGCAATTAGCCAGAGGACACTGATTTTTCTCCTGTGAAGAGAAGAAGAAGACGGCATGTCCAGCTGTGCAGGCACTTCTACAGGGTCAGGAATGGAACCAGAACCAGTCAAGCACTCCACCACTGAGCTACACCTCCCTGGGCCCAGCGCATTTTAATTGGCTGATGTGACATTCACTAACATCTCAATGGCCAAAGCAAGTGACGCTACTGAGCCCCAAATCAGCCAGGAGGCCCCTCCTATTCTAAAACCAAGGCGAAGGTGAAGAATTGTTCCTGAGCATCGCCACTGCTATACTCTCTTTGCCACAGGGACGGGAACCGTGTCAAGCCTATTTGGTGTGACGTCCCCCACTTCACTCATCCTCCCCTGAGTGGGGGAGTGAACCTAGGCCTTTCCCATTAATTGACATCCCTGGCCCTTATTTTATTATCTTGAGACAGTAAATTGAGACACTAAGTTACTAAGTTGCCCCAGCTGGTTTTACACTTAAAATCTGCCTGCCTCAGCATCCCAGAGTGCTGGGATTACAGGAGAGCACCACCACCTTGGCTACCGTTCCCTTTAATAGCGCTGTGTAAGCCACCTTCCTTAGCCAGCTAAACAACCTCTTGGAATGGAACCAGAGGAATGCACATCAGGGAGGCGGGGCTTCAGAGGCAGGCTGCAGGGTAGAGCAGTTCTTTATATAGCCTGACCAAGAACCTGGTGATTAATGGTAATTAAGCTGGATCTGTGGGCTGGGGATTTAGCTCAGCGGCACAGCACCTGCCTGGCAAGTGCAAGGTCGTGAGTTCAATTCCTGGTACCGGAAGAAAAAAACCAAAAACAAACAAACAAATAAGCTGGATCTGAAACAGGTGTTTGCCCTAGGAAATGCGTGCATACAGACAAGTGAGAAAAGACCAGGTAGACTCAAGGTTCAGCACTCAGGGGCTGGGCTTCAGAGTGTGTAGTTGGGGAGGATGGAGACTGAAGAACAGAAATGCTGACATTTAAGACAGAGACCCAGACTCGAAGGAGCAGGGGTGGAAACCCCTGATATCCAAACTAGAAAAGCTTTGCATTTTCACTCATCAAAAGCAAAGCGTTCCTTCAGGCCACACCATCTTATCACCATCATCAAAGCTTAACCGTGAAAATTACAGAGCCAGGGTCCTGCCCTCCAGGAGTTCAGGGTCTGAGACGAAAACACAGCGACAACCCTAAAGACTAAAATATAAACAAAGGATTAAGACAGGTGGCAAGGGCAGTCCCTCCTTTCCTGTGGAGAGGGAAAGCAGGGATCCATCCAGGTGGACCTCCTGTAGAAAGAGGCACGGAGGATCTCCTTCTGGGAGGGAGGACTGTCTGACCAGAAGAAGGGTGTGACTTAACAGAAGAGGGAGAGGTGGGTGGAGGGAACTCACTGCTGGACAGGATGAGAAGAGGGTAGTGGAGAGGAGGCCTGGGCTGCGTGGGAAGGTCTACAAGCTTTCTCGTGAGTTCAGTTCCTGGTCAGGAGCGTTGTACCAGGCGGATGAAGAGGCTTTACAAAGAGCTATAAGGACTTTCCTTTGAGAAAACCATAGGGGCCTTTTCTTTTTAATTAACACTGGAGCAAAGACTTGTGACCTCCCAATCAGACATCTCAGCGGAAGGAATCAGCAATCTATATAGTTCCTCTCCCATGAAGACACCAAACAAAATCTAACCTGCCTAGCCCACCTGCCTCCCTGATGATGTGATTGAGCCTCTTCTTTTACACATGACCAGGAATATGTGAAGTAAAGTATCATTACTCCCCTTCACAGCTGAGGAAACCGAGGCTTCCTGAGGTTAAATTAGAGGTCCAAAGTTACACGACTGGGGAATGGAGACCACCAAAAAATCCAGTGGTGGGTCCAGTTGCAGAATAGGATGCAGCACTTGTAGTGTGGGACAGTGCAGGACATTGAAGCCAGGTGCCTGCATTTAGAACCCACATTTTTAACCACTGTATAATTGATTTCTAAGAGGGGGCACTTGCCTAAAACCACAAGAGACATTGCATTTGGTTAGGCAGTCATCAGCTCTGGGCTGTATTTGCCAATCGGGATACCAAGATATGGCTAAGAAATCTACAGCCAGGCGGATGTGGCCTCATCTTCCACGTTGTGCTGGTTAGCACGATTCCTAAAGCAACAGACACCGTTGAGAAAGATCTTTTATCAAGTGGGTCTCCGGCTTTCCCATCTGCTGCAAAGTCCTGGCGTGTTTTCTTTTGGAAAGAAGTAAAGTGTTAGTGGCAGCCGAGGGGAGGCTGAGAGAAACCCTCTCTCCCCTTTCAAGCCAGGCTGTCCGAGTCTGGTGTGCAGGCAGGTGAGTCATTGATTTCCCCCTCTCCTCCAGAGAGCACTGCCACAGTTACATGGATGAAAGGCGAGGAAGAAAGACAGAATTGAATGGTCCAGGTTGAAAGGAAACTTTTGAAACAGGTTAGAAGACTCCAGTCGGGGTTTGCTGCGTAGTGTGAAAC